TTTTGAAAAATTTAAAAAAAAGAAAATTTTTCCCTAGACAGAAGTCTTCCCCCCCAGGTCCCCCCTTCCCCCCCCCCCCCCCCCCCCCCCCCCCCCCTCCATACACACAAATAACAATTAGACAAAAAAGGCACTAGCCTCAGTGACAAAGTCGTTATTCCGATTGTATTAAATCAAACTTAGCACCCCCCCCCCACCCACCCACCCAGCAAAACGAGTCACCCAAGGCCAGTTAATCCTCCCTCACCGACCTACTATATATTAAATCGTAGACAACGAGCCCTCCTACGCAGCGGAAGGAGACCGTGATACCCAGACATCGTAGACACTGATTTGGCCTCCCTGCACGGCGGTTGTTCCTGACACCCCCTCACACATACACACCAAAATGATTCTAGCAACTTAGTATAGTAATATGTAAATTTTCCACGCTCCAGTAGAAAGGAAGAAAGTATACTGTTTTGTTACCCAAATGTTTATTCGTGCATTCTTAATTTACAATTACAATAATTCTTATCATGTCACATTCCCATACAACGATGCATCAAAAATTTTTCTCTGGTTTCCCAAAACTTTACATTCTAGTCTTCTCTTCAGTCTACTTTCACTTCTTTGGTAATGGTGGGATGTTTTACGCTCTTACATAATATATTTAATTAATATTTTCTCCATAAGTATTCATTAAAAGCGAATAATAAGCGCTCAATCAAACTATTTTAATTCCCTTCATCCCAACATAAAAGAATGATTTTAATCTTTATGTTACTATGTTTTACTTCTCGTTCGTTGCACTATTTGATTCTTTTATCCACACACAATCCACTCTACCACGCTCATTGAAATATAACTCGGATCATAGTCGTTGACTGTAAAATCCATTTCACTAAAACAACAAAACAATAGTAATTGATTTTCATTACGATGAAAGTGCTAGAATCGTTTTTTAAAAACACCAATAGTTTCGAAATGCTAGGTTCCTTCTTTAAATATTTGCAGTGAATATTTTCTTGAGTTAATGAAATTTTTAAAAAGCATTTCCCATAAACCAACAACACATTACATCATTGCTCAATATTGCGTTTTATATAAGGGTAGGATGTATGCTAATCATATATAAAAGCACTAAGTCTTAAAGTTGCGTGTCTATCCCCGTACAAAACCAAATGCCATCACTGTACACAAGCTAGCGTAGTTTTCTAGCAGTTAGAGTTTTTCTAGATAAAAACATTATATATGTGTTTCCAAAGAATATTCACTGAAAATACGAACGTTATTATGTGAAAATAATAGTGTACAAGTCAATGGACAAAATCTAGGAAATTAAATCAACAGCTACATTGCATACTCTCTTTAATAAATATCATATTTAAAGATCAAAGTACTCCATATTAAATACGTGCCCATTTAATAAAAATATGGTTACTTGTTCTGTCGTCCCAGAAAAGGCATTTGTTAACATGTTTGATAACAATTAACACCATTACACAGTACTTTCTTTTCGGTTCAGTAAATCCTCTATATCATGCATTCGAGCTCTCCAGTCTTTTATGGCGATTTCCCCGGAGAGACAGGCCCTCATGGTCTTCTCCCAATCTGCCTCCAAGGTCGGGTCCATTTTACCAGTTTCAAACTTCAGAGGGAAGTTGCCCTGCCTGATTCCAGCAGAAAAGACGCTTACTTCAAGATTTCTGTGAATTTTGTACGCATGTTCATTATGCCATATCTCCCACATCATGAGCCCAAGGGCGTAGATGTTGGCATCTGCATCGTAAGGTTTGGTGCCAGCAAGGACGCTGTAGGGTAGATAAACCATAGACCCTATGGTGGAGTTGGGATCTGGGGGTGACATCGTGACAGGTTTGCTGATGTTCACTAACTTCACGGTTTTACCATTCCCAGCCTATAAAACAAAATAAAGTATAAGGAACCGTTCAGAATGAGTTTGGTCGCTATAACTTATAAGCATCAGATACACAGGCTAACACGCCTCCTCCTGGTGTTGAGTAAAATAGATAGACAAGAGTGATAACACCAATAATGTTGGAAACAAAATGATTAAGCAAATGTGCCCGTGGAGTAAATGCACATCAACTAACTCCCTTAGATGAACAGGTATGCGTAAACAGCTATGTATAAAATTTCTAGAAAATTCCTTTACATATTGGGCGATTCCCCATGCCATCACATAATCATACATTTGTTTTAGAATGCCATTACACATTTAGGGTCAATTCCACCATGTACACCATACCCTGTACGTGTGTTCGCGACTGTTTATTTGTTTCACGTAATGCTTTTTGCGCTCTATATAAGTAAGTAAGTTTATTAATACATGGCAACCAAAAGGTTGAAGTTATACATAAAATGGAGTGAGAATAAAATTTACAAATTTACAAATTAAAATATCTATATATAATATAACTAAATAAGATTTAAAAAAAACAAAAAAGAATAAAATAAAATAAATATATAAAATAATGTTTTGCACAGACATCTGAAAGTTAGTGTAAAAGAGGATGGAGTAATGAAAATTAAATACAATAAAGGCCAAAATGAGTTTCAAAAGTAAAATTCAGACCACTTATGGTTTAATAAAGAGAAAAAAAGTGTTTTTAAAACTTCCAGTTCTAATTTATGGTATGTTAGACTTTGACAGGCTATTTCTTAGTCTCCTGTGTTGATTGAAGATTAAAAGGTACATGTAGTTCAGCTTGTGTGTGTCATTTTGTATTTTTGCAAGAAATGATTTGCAGAGTTCAAATCTGCGCTCTTTTAATGTAATAAATTTTGCTTTGGCTAGAGCATCAACATAAGTTTATTCAGGGAATATGATCCTAAGTGCCCTTGACTTGATGGATTCTATTATTTTACATTGTTCTCCAGTTAATCCAGGGTGCCACACAGGACAAGCATATTCAACCACGGTCCGAATTAAACTCTGATATGCCTGAACAAGATCAGACGAGGACAGTTTAGCACGTTTAAGCTGGCGCAGAAAAAACATTCTTGTGCATGCTTTTTAATAGATAAAATCAACATGTTCAGCCCATTTAAGATTAGTGATTAGTGATGTTAGTGATGTCAAAAAGCAACAAAATCAAATTAAAGCACAGGTGAAAAGAGAACTTACGTAGTATCATATTTATTATCTCCTTTTAATAAATACTCACGGTAATCATAACTGTATCCATAGACAAATCCAGAAAGACGAGGCCATTTTTGTGCAGGTAGGACAAGGCGTCCGCCAGTTGGATTAGACAGTCTACCGGTTCCTTGAGTAAATGATGGACCAGCTGACCCGGGACGACTTTGCGACTACCCTTGCCACTTCTGAGGACCCTCAAACTGGTCAGACGCGGGATCATGATAAGAGATGGCAGTTCAGTTGTAGGGTCCAAATAAGTACCCAATATGGTGGGAATGAATATCCTCTTTTGTTGGTTCAGTTTTCTGGAAATAAAATAATGTGTCCTTGTGTAATGTCCTATTTAATGTATAGTACCAGACAACAAAATCTCTAGGATTAAGAAAGAAAAACTGCATTGAACTAATCATAGAAAATGTTTAAGGCAAACAAGTGGCAACTTCATATTTCTACACACCTCATTTCAATGATTTCCTCACGTACTTGCTTCTTAAATGTAGCCCATTTATATCGTTTTACAGATATTTCGAGGGATTGACCCTTTGGCGATTTTAAGAAGGCATGGAAAACTTCAGTCCAGTTCCCTTTATATGACATTTGCCCTTTCACACGTCTGATGTCTACTTCCACATCTGTCTCGTTATAATCGTACGAGAAAAGATGTGTAATAGCAAAATCTTCCAGCGCACGGTTAACTCTGGTAAACTTCTTGACGACAGGGTCATAAGTGTCGATGAGCTGCTCCTTAGACCGTTGGTCTTCTTTAATGGTCTGCATGTAGCCTCGTGTTGATGATATAAGCTGTGGAATGGACTCGCGCATCATCTGTAGATGATCCCTGGCCTCTTGGAGTTGAGCATCGACATAGGCCTTTGTAACATCAGGCTTAGCCATTATTTTCAAAGCCTCGGATGATCTGTCTCGAAGAAATTCACATTTTTTCTGCTCATATTGCTTTAAGATTTGTTTCTCTTTCCTCTTCCTTACATGTTTTTTTACGTCAACAAAAAGAAATGCCGGTGACGCAAGAAGCATACCCAACGCACCAATGGGTAAAATGATAGGTGAAAATAAGCCGAGTGCAATTTTTTCACCTAGGTTAAAGTCTACAATTGACATTTTGTTCACCTCATTGTCCATTAGGTCTTGTAATTCCATGTAGGCCGCCAAATCTCTACTTTCACTGGAATCTGTTTCCGAGGACCGTTCCAGCATGTTTTCAATCATGCGCAGCTCAGATTCAATTAACTGGAATTCTCTAGTGAATTTTTTGAACAAGTCTTTCTTCAGAGTTTCAAAATGTTTTTCGTCCGTTTCCCAAGACCTGATGGCATCAATGATTCTTTTACAGATGGCATCTTCTATTCTTCCTTCTAAATAGTTCCAACTTAANATAGCAGTGAGGATGATATAGACTAGCTGGCATTTAGCGCGCCATAAAAGGAGCGGCTAGCCAATTGCTGTGGCCGAAATAGGTAATTCCATGGTAAAACAAATCACAAAGTGCCTCTGTGAAAAGCCACGAAACAGTCATCAAAATACGACGAATACACAAACTCTCCCCCCCCTCCCCCGTCACCTTGGTGTAGTCTCTCTCCTCCAGCACCAAGTATCATGTTTCGAGATCAAAAGAAAACGAATCCCATCTTTCCAAGATGCTCTTCGCCTTGCTATCATTAAAACAGGACTTTTTCAAGGTGTGCTCCATGTTTCCTTTCTCCAGTGGCGCAGGGATGAGCATTCACATAAGTCCGACAGTAATACACGTAATCAGCCATTTAACAACCGAACCGACTCTCGCTGTTAAGTTATACGGATACTTGGAGAAAAATGATTCATTTATTTTATTATTCCCCTAATCCAAAATTTATTAAGATATTCAGGTACGAGCATACGAATATATCGAGTGACCTCCAAACGCCATGCAGTACTAATTCAGAACTTGAATGATAAAAAAACACAGCTCATCTCCTTTTATTTCTTATTTGACGAAGTGAAAGAAAGGAGGACTGAAAAATGTTTTAACGTTGAACCTTCAGTCAGCGGGCTGATACAAATACTTGCGCTCGGTATTGTTCATTCCTTTGGCGCTTAAGCATTCTTTTCTGTTAAATGTCATCTTGGTAAATTGTCTCGCCAGCCAGTGAAGGAGGCTTCCTCATGTTTTAAAAACATCATGTTTGCCGAAGCGATTTTGATAAAAATTGGAAGACAAAATCTGCTCAACATGTGAGTAAAGTATACGAAAAAATGGGTTTGTTTACGAGAGGTAGAATCCCCCAGAAAAGTTATGGAGTTTGTAAACAAGTCGTAAGTGGGTATGTTACATCGCAAAAGTCCATTCTTCGATAAACGTACATTTTTGTTGACATATACGTAACCCTTCGATCAAAATAACAACAAAGTTTTTATTAAGAATGAATTGCATACGTTATTGCATGGTATATTTTGATCATTAGTCGTTGTCGTCAAAAAGTGTTTGAGCTATTATAAGGGAACCTCATTAAAATTAATCAGGTATCCGTGACATCTAGGTATGGGAACAGGGTCTTAGGGACAATGACACATGAGCAACCTATTACCTATGTGGTAATTAGTGAAATCTGTCACTTCATGGAGGGGTTTGTCTTGGGATGAGGCGACGGACTGAAGGAAAATACTCAGGAGGCCGTGAAAGGGTAAGTAAAGCAATTTGACGTAAAGAGGCAGATGATAAGGATGCATGCAAGAAAACAAGGGTCGTCTTATTTGTGAAGAGCGGCTAGGAATTTGTTATTATTATTATTATTTATTGCTGGGTATGAATTCTGCTTTCCAATTAACAGATGATAAATTGAAGAGATGGACAGAAAATTTATTTAGTGACCCGAGACGAAAGGCTTGGTCATCATAAAGAGGAGGGGGAATTGATAAAATGCATATTTGTCTGACATGTGAGCATACACTCAAAGTTCACCTGCCATTTGCCATCATCATATTATCATGGTGTTAATTTTTGGACCAAGAACATATTTTTGGCCATTTCTGGTCCACTGTCTGACTTTTCACAGTATTAAAAACAGATTGTCCTCATGTGGAAACTGTCCTATACATTATTTTAATAAAAGTAATAATGAGGCTGTTGGTATGTTTCCCCCCATATCTCTCTCATTTTAATGCTAGTAAATACCCAGGGGAGAAACCTACCCATTTTTAGAAACGTCATGGAAAAATCATCATCAAAAATCCAATGATGGGGAAGAACCTTGTGTGTTTGTAAAGAGCTGAGCCCACCAGTGTGTTCTTTTAAAGCATTCACTGAAAGGACAGTCACAACATTGTCTGATAGGCTGTTCATATGTCATTGTCCCTAAGACCTTGTTCCTATACCTAGATCGATCTAGCAGGGCCAATCCATCTCCAAGCTCAGAGGGGTTTCTCGCTAAATTACATTCAGCTTAAGCGGCTCTGATGTCTGGCATGTCAACTGAAGCTGAAACTTAACTCTGATGTTCCAATGATGCGAGACTTTGGTAAAGAAATCGCGTATTCTACTGACTCCCCTGCTTCTGCAAATAAGTCATCAAAAATGGCCAGATTGCTTATATTTGCATCCAACAAAGTGCGTGCTCAGGCTGAAAGTCAACCTGAATCCCTTTTCCCAATGTTATTTTGTTGATGGTGTCTTCTATTTCAGTTGCAAGGTTGCAAGATCGAATAGAAATAACTTGTTTTATCAGGAGGCGCAGATATATCATTATAAATGCGTTTAGCAGAAGTCTTTTCACCCAAGTAGTTTTCCTGCATTTTGTCGGGCAGAAACAATCATCGCACTAGGTGATTTAAACCTCAAGTCATCCATTATGATTAAAGACATTTGCAAAGCACAGCACGGCACTTTATAATAGTTTTCACGTGTTTGTTCTCACAGTACATTTATACCACTCACCTTCATTTTTGTAGCGCTCTTTTCAAAAGTTTCTGAACATTCGGCCAGCTCATCGTCGCTTATAGTTTGGTGTTCAAAGTCTTGCTGTATTTCAAATTGTTCCACATTTGCGACTAATTCACTGTCGGAAATACGACATAATTCTAAGTGATCCTTCCCGAGTCCTTTAAATTTCGAAATTTTTACATGCAGCGTAGTGCAATAACTCGGCATTTTTTTCTCAATATCCAACTTCATAGAATGTTCCAGGAAAATTATATGATAGTATGTTTCGAACGCCTCTGATAATTTATTTAAATGACTGATCGTTTTCTCAATCCCTAGGGTTTTACAATAATAGTTCTGTAAGCCTTTGCCTCATTATTTTGCAAACACTCATGGTTCAATTATTGTGCAAGGAAGCTAACATATCGTTCATGTTTGTTATTCACAACATGGTAGCCATAACTTTTATGCAGGATCTAAAGTATTTCAGACTGTAGCACAAAACGTTGCTTCTAAAGGACCGTTTGCCCCATATCTATCCTTAAGTTATATATTTCTGTCTGTGACATGAGGTTGGAGTCGTTATTGTTTCCTTGGTGACAAAATACACATGGCTCTTCAAGCGCTTTTAACACGGGTCGTGTGGTCATTGTGGTGAGTATGGCTTTTAGGTCAATTCATACATAAGTGATAATATGGACATCCGATTTCTTCACAAGTTACAATTGAGTCCACTCCCCTCATAAATAATGTTATAAATGTATGGAATACTTTCTGGTTAATGGTGTTTGATGGTTGTAACACAATGTATTGAGAGGCCTTTGTCTTATGTAACACATTTATGACAGATACAGCCAATAACATCTGACCTCAGTATAAATATAGATCATGTATACTTATTAAAATATGTTTCAACTGTATGGACATTGTAGTGTTGATATTGAGAATTTAATAACCAAGATTTTATAGTTATAATCAGTAAACCGTAATATATCACGAAAAACTGTACAATCATACGTATGGTTTAAAATGATTTATAAATATATATATATAGAGAGAGAATATATACACAAAGTAATACAAAAAAATATATTATGTAATACAAAGTATTTTAGAGATAATATAGATAACAAACCATTTGTTAACCCTATATATTTCCTATCATGCTACTATCTGGGTGTTTATAATTATAAAACACAGTTACATATGTGAGTTGTTTATATTGGATTAATTACTTCTTGCACAATGTAAGTGTGGACAATTGAATGGCCTTATTCTTAGAGTAATTGGTAAAATAACAAAAAAAATTGGTAGTTTATATTACTTTTGATTGGATTTTATAGGGGGTGGCGTTAGCAAAATTTTAATAAGTAAAATTTTGGACTATACCATTATAATTTGTTTATTTTATAAGTATATTGTATCTTATATAAGCTAACGGCTTGAAAGTGTTTCAGCTTGTGTTTGATAATTATCATAATATAAGATCCAACCACCAAGCTAATGAACATTTTTGCTCTCATCACCTATAGCAATATCTTATAATTGATGTACAGTAGTTTGTTCAAATGTATTATACATGAAAACGAATACTTGTAACCAAGAAATGGGGTAACTGTTTAACGCTGCAAACTATAACATTACATATGTGTAAACGTATTAGTTATTTAAAAGTGTTAGATTTATTTATGCTTATTATGTAATTGTGAGATTATGGGGTGTTTATATTTAATGCTATTAAGTGCAGTGACATATGTAAGTTAGGTTGTAAAGGGTGCGGTTGAGGAAGCACATTTTTCATATAGTTCTTTAAAGGATATAATTACATTGGGAAGCAAACATCAGTTTACGAAGAATGCTTGTCATTATGAATGTGAATTAAGGAACTAATATAATTACAAAAGAACATTCGAACGTTCATAATTATAATTGAGTTATCCAGTCTGGTGTAGTCTTAATATATTTAACTATCCGTCTTTAGTAACTGACATTCAGTATTTTATTAAAATGTTGTGGAAGCTTTTTCTTCTTCCTGTGTTAGAGAATTTAAGAAATAATAACACGATATACAACATCTGTATAATATACATGATATTATAATGATTACTTGTTTTGGCTTACTATTCATTTGCTCACTTTATGTGTTTGCAGTAGTCTTAAAATATCTAAATTGAGCTGTCTATAATAATAATTTTAATTTTAAATGGGATAAAGTTTTGTGTTTATTAGCCATTATAAATTAGTGTATTGTTATAAATTACCAAAGGGTTGAATCATACGTGTACAACCCAGACGCCATGGTATCTAAAGAAGGTACAATCTTACTTTAAAGCACCGATAAAAGGATAACTTTGATTGATGTAATTGTATAACAAGCCAATGGTATGTCTGATATTTGGGATGATATAGGTCACCTCATTATTCTACGTTTTGCAAAACGACAATGTCTTTTTCAGAGTTCTGAAGTAAAAGAGTTATTTATAACTGAAACATTTTTTATAGCATCAAGACAGTTGTAGAACTGCAACAAAGACAATCTTGCGAATTATCGATATTTTTACCTGTGGAAAATCATTAAACCTGTCTCCACTACCTAATCTCTGCTTTATAACAAGGTTGAGTATATTCCAAGACAGTGGTCCTAGATGAATATTTGGGGAGGGGGTGGGGATCTGTTGACGGCCTACAATATACGCTAGAGGCTTATTTTGTACCCCTGTAGTTTACAGACATGGGCTATGCATTATTTATTTCTCGCGGAGCATAAATGAAAGTGAATGCCATATGAAAACAACAGTAATTCAGATTATATAGTGAGGAAGACGACGAGTTGGAACTTTCGAAATTTTATTCCCCAATTTATTTTTAAATACAAATTCAGGAGTATTTATACTGGATATCTCAGTTTTGGTCTAGCATACACTTGTTTTCGTCACATTGCCTTTTGCGTAATCATGAATACCAGGATTGTTTTATTCTGATTTATCAATCCATCATTCGATATTTTCTATGAAGGAAATCTCAAAGATTCCTGTTTTCGATTAGAAATCTAAGTTATTATATGAATTACACTGTACATCATACTCTGATCGTACCCAAAACTTATTTTGCATCTAATTTACACGTTGCTGGAACAATTTTATTGTGATATCAACCAATCAAATAAAACTGTATGTCATTATGTCCTATAATACCCTTTCCTAACA